GGCCTGTTTCCCAATGCCCCCACCGCCTCCACCACCCGCCTGTCTCTATCACCTTTTTGAGATTATTAACAGGAGGGATGGACCCAAGGCGAGTGTTGGCCCTATGGACTTGGCACCTCGGACCTGCCCACACTGCATCTCTCTCAGTACAAGGTGCGCATACACACCCTTGCAGGGGCCTACAGGCCGTGGGTCAGTCGGTCCTCCTGCACCCCACTGCCCAAAGCTGGGAAGAACTCACTGGGACAGGAGTAGCTGCAGCTTGTTCCGAAGTGGGGGAGAGGAGAATTCATGCACAGTGCAAGGGCCCACACACAGCCACAAGCAATGCCAGGTGGTCTATCCAGAGCTGGCTCCTCGGACGCAGTAATTCTCCTCCACATGCCCTACTCCAGTCAGTTCCCCTTTCACAGCTGCCAGTGGGGTGGAGTCCAGCTGTCTCTGCAACCCCTGACTGCAAGGCTGGAGGAAAGCTGGGGAGGGCCTTCGAAGGGGTCTTTATGAAAACCTCTGAACAACCCCTCAGGTTCCCCGTGTGCTGAGCCTGGCCTGCCCAGCGCCTCTCCAGAGGCAGGATGGGCCTCTGCGATCTGAGCGTGGCTGGAGGAGGCGCAGCTTTGTCGCCCTCTGCTGAGCAGCCCTGCACCTGCACCTGCTCTGGACTCACACTTCACAGGAAACCCCTGCGGTCGGTCAGAGGCACAGAGGAAGGAAACGGAAAGTGCAGTCAAAGCTGCGGTCTCTCTGCTTGCAGGACAGGGGCGTCTCAGCAGCACAGGCCAAAGACAGAGAAGGCAGGTGCACATGTCCCAGGTGTCCCTGTAGCAAAGTCCCTCCACTTTGGCCTCCTTGTCCACTCACCACTGCCACTTCCGCAACCTCTCCCACCAGAGAGCCCAGCAGACATGCTTTCAGCACAGTCCCCTGGTGCCTCCAAGCTGTCCAGCGTGCTGGCAATGCTGAGTCTCTCCTCTCCTGTCCTGCTCCTGTGCTCCTACGCAGGACTGTCCTCCTGGAGGCCCATCCCACCCTGCCCGCCTCTCCTGCATGAGTCTGGGGCCCGGGATAGAGTACTGGTGCCGCAACCCAGGTGCCTGTCTGAGAACGGAGCAGGCTTGTTCTCTGAGACTTCCCAGCATTAAAGGAATATAGGACGAGGCCGCAGGGCTCCAAAGGCTCCGTGCAGAAACCCAGGAGCAGGCCACTGGCAGAACAGGCCCCATGCATCCTGAGGCTGAGGTGCCATGGGGGAATATGTCTGCTGGAGGAGGAGAGCACACATGAGCCCATGCGGAAGCAAAACAGATGCTCACCCGCCTGGCAGAAGGGCCCCACAACCAGGCCAGGCTCCCTGGTGAGTGGGCTCAGCCTCCCCCAGGGCGCTCAGGCTGCGAGGCAGAGACACAGCAGCAGAGGCCCGGGGAGCAGTTCTATTTGTGACTCAGCCCAGGGCAAAGGCCCGAAGGAGGGATGTGTCTGCACTAATCCAGGCAGACAGGCGCCCTCGCCTTGCCCAGGCGATCACTGAGCAGCCAGAGCATGAGACATCAGATGCCACTTTCCACACGACCTGCCCCTGTCCCAAGCCACCAGGCCCAGCTCAGGCTCGGGGACCATTAGGCCCATTGTTCCCCCGCCAGATCCAGGCACTGGCCAATAAGGGGGCCAGACTGAATGAACAGCTGCTGAAGAAGGAGGCTCGGGTAGGGAAGAGGCCGAGACACAGACACCTGCACCAGGAACCTGGAGCATCTGGACACCTTGGGGACACCCTGGGGGTTCCATCGGGAGCTCCCGCAGCTGTGGGGACCTGATCGGGAAACCAGGGAGTACTTGGGTGAGCACAGCACAGAACCACAGGGCCTGTCTGGGATCTAGGATCTTCACGGCGATGAGAGATGAGAGGGCTGCTGTGTTCCTGTAGCTGCCCATCAGGACCCACTAGGCCCTGGGCCAGGGTTCCTCACTTGGCATCAGAGACCCCTGAAGGGTGTGTGAGAACAAGGCTCGCCAGGTCTGGGATGAGGCCCCGTTGGTGCTAGTGCTGACCTGGGGCGACCTCAAGGTGGATGCAGAGCTTCGGCTCCTCTCTCCGTTCGGGTGGAGCTATGACGATGTCCTGCAGAGAAGCACCCAGCAGTGCCAGAGGGAGGTCCCGATGGCCTTCCCATTCCCAGCTGGGGCCTCACAGCTCTGCGGGGCCAGCGTCCACAGTGGGTCTTGGCCTCTCCCAGCACTGCATCCTTGTCTGTGAAAGGGGACAAAGCGGACCAGACCCTCACTGACACGGGAGTACCACTGGGCAGCAAGGCCTAAGAAGCCCAGAAGGACCCACCTGGGAGGCCCACCCAGCACACCTGCCAGCAGATGCCACACTCATCTGACACATGAGGAAGTAATGGTCCTGGGAAGTTACACAGATGCCCCCAAATCCAACATTCAACATGCACAACACCAGTTCTCCAACTCGGGTTAGTGACTGTAAACTACTGCTCTGTCCCCTCCGCTCCCTGCAAATTGCTCGGGGACACTGGCTGTGCACAGGTGGCTTCTCCTGCTGGGTGCACACACCACCAACAGGCAAGGCAAAACGCCAACCTGGACCAACAAGGCAGGGCCCACCCTACAGGCAGAAGGCAGCCTTGGCCCCACTCCCACCAGGGTAGCGGGAAGGAGAGAAGGCCCAGGATGACAGGCAGCGCCTGTGGGAACAGCCGCCACTGGAAAAGGTCAGAGACAGCTCTGCGGCTCTCTGGTGGAATACCCGTCTGGGCACTTTAAAAAAACCTAGTTTTTGTATGAAATGACAAATAGCTAACCATGATAATACGTAAAGCGCTCATTCGAGGTTAAGAAAGGCGATCAGAACCGCCCCAAATGCCCAAGCTGTAAGAGAATCCGTGAACACAGACAACTGTCTGATCACATTGCTCACCAAAGAAACTTCTGGAAAATGAGGACTGCCAGCATACCCTTTCCCTGGGAAGCTCTGTGGCCAAGAAGGTGAGTGAGGCTTCGACCTTCCCTCACAAACACCTTCCTCCATTCATTCCGCCGCGTATTTCCCTTCCCAGGGTTTGGGCCCTGCAAGACTGTAAGTGCGCTGCTCTTTGCTAAGATGCTACAGAAGCCAGGTCCTCATCACCCCGTTGAGTTTCTCATCACTGCTGTTTCGCCCTCATGACAGGCACTGCACACAGCAGTGAACTGCTTTTCTCTTGTTGATCTGTCTTTTATGAATCTAATTTGCAGGCTCCCTAGGAGGGCGGGGGGGACATGTCTGCTCTCTGCAGTTCCAACGCGCACAGAATGGCAAGGAGAGTCAGATACACCTCCCCAGTGACATAACAAAAACCCAGAGCAACGATGCAAATAAACATTACCCCGCAAAAGATGCCTGATGTATGAGGTCAGGCCAGAGGGTGTCTAGCCATGTAATACGAAAAACAGAAATATTTATTGTAGAAGATACAAAAAACACTGTACACAGGACAATGACACCTCAGTCCCCTTCAATGTAGGCTCCTTGGGACCTCACACAGTTCTCCCAGTCACCATCAGCTGCCCTGTCGTATTTTCCTGAATCTCACTGACAGTCTGAAATCTCTTCCCTTTCAAAGGTGCTTTTAGTTTGGGGTAAAGCCAGTAGTCACAGGACGCCAAATCTGGGCTGTCGTGGGGCTGAGTCACTTGGGCGATTTGATGTTTCACCAAAGAACTCTGCACGAGACGTGATGCTTGTGTACATGTTTTCGTGATGAAGCTGCCAATCACCAGTTGTCATAGCTGCGGCCTTCTGAATCATCCAAATAGTTCCCATGGAGGAATGTTCAAGTTTAATGCAAAATCTGATGCAGATTCACTGCTCTATTCACTCAAGCATTTTTAATGTGATAGCCACACAGTACACATGCTCACTCAATGGGTCTAACACCCCCACGGTCTAATACAGTCAAGTCATTGTTCACACATGTGCCTTCCAGTCCACTCTCCTTGGCTGCCAGGTTACACTGACATTGAGCAAACCGTTATTATATTAACAGTGGCTGGACTTTTTCTGGACAGACCTCATAAGTCAAGCCAATGAAATAGTCACATCTTACAACTCTAAGCTGCCTACCAACTGTAGATGGAAACCTGGAAAATGATACTAGAAATCTGGGGGTTGCCTAGTCATCCAGCAAGAAGTCTGTACATATTTCACTAGAGGACCAACCATGAGAACACAAAGACTGATAAAGCAGTGAGACAAACAGGACAGCTACAGACGAGTTTAGAGATGAAACGTGTATCGGGAAGGAAAGTACAGTAGGGTTACAGAGAGACTAGGCCAAGCAGCCCCGCCCCTGAGGCCTGAGGGCTCTTAAAGAGGCTAGACGCCTCTAGTATTTTAAATGCTCAACCATACACATGCAGTTCGCACCTCAGTGGCAGCATTCAGGTCTCTCTCCAGACTGCATGGTGCACCCTCGCAGGGCTCCTTCGAGAGCTCACTCCACCCCAGGGCAGCGAAGGGGAGCACAGCTGCTCTCTACCTCCCGGGGATGCTCAGGTGAAAGCTCTGCCCAGGAGCTCGGCTCCATCAGAGAAACTCAAGGAAAAAGGTTGGGAGGGGCCCTGCACCCTGAGTTTTACAAAGAAGCTTTACGAGGCAATGTGAAGATGTGGGCACTGCGTGTTTGTTTGATAAAAAGATATGACTGCTAACTTGCTCAGATGTAGTAACAGCATTGTAGACAGCTTTTTAAAGAGCCCTCGGAAATAGACACTAACAAATCAGGAAGGAAAGTGCTGGCTTCAAAATAATTCAGTACGGGTGTGCTGAAGGTGACTGATGGGCACATGGGATTTCTTTATACCATTCTTTCTAGTTTAATAAATCTTAAATTTTTCCATTAATAAAAACCTTTTAAAACGCATAGGCAATTAAAACTTGCCCCGACCCATGCACGTCAATAACTCAAAGCCAGCTGGCACCATAAACACGCAAACCTGCTCACCTCTCCTGATGGAAGTAACGCTCCGCGTGTCCAGGTCCAGCTTCTGCACCAAGGTGCCGGGGTCGATCTGCGTCCTGGCAAAGATGTTGGTGTTCACAAAAGCACACTCCTATAATGAAAGAAAGAAGACCACGTAAGACTCGCTGCATGGCTTCCTGGTAAAATGCAAGGCCCATCAAAATGCAGGGAGACCCCAGGGCAAGGGCCTCAGCTGCATAGGGACTGGCCCAGGTACCCACAGAAGAGGGTCCTGTCCTCTGTGGGTACCTGTCCTCACTTCCCAGGTCCATGAGGGGAGCCTAAGACCCTTGGCACTCAAACCCAGAGCCCTACAGCGACCACTTCCTGCCCGCCTCAAACCCCAGGGGGCTGGGCTCCTGGCTTAAGGACCATCTCAGACCAGACTCAGGAACTCCTCCCAAACCTTGCACCTTCTCACTCCTGCTTTACATCCCTCCCTCCACCTTGGCACTGTCTCTCCCAGGTCTGCTTCCAACCTGCATTCTCCCCTACATCAGGGTTCAGAACCCTCCATGTCACTCTGCGCATCACAGGTGCTCACCCAGAACCCACCTCCCATGCTCATCCAGCTCATTCCAGGGCCAAGCTCCCGGACAGGTGCCTCGGGAAGGACTTCAGCACCCACCCCCAGGGGAGTCACACACCAAAGGACAGGATGCGGACGGCACAGAAACTGGCCTGAGCACCAAGATGGTGCCAGGCTAATGGGCCCACCCAGAGTGCCTGACAGAGGAGTCCTGGCTCTTGGGGACTTCCCAGGCGTGGTGAACAAGACACTTCGGAGAACTCACTTGGGGAGCAGTGCTGGAGCCTGTGGGACACAGGGCAGAGGGGAAGGCCATTTCAGGTGACACCACCCCGCAAAGCAGAGTCCCTGGCCACATATGGAAGTCTGTACACACTGACACTCAATTTCTGTCACTTCAGTGTTTTCCACACTGTGCCTTTTATCTCATTACTTCACCTTCTGGAGCTCAGTATAAAAGGAGCTGATGTTTTGCAGTTTATGATATCATTATGTGACTAGAAATCAGAATTCTGTTTAATTAGTCCCCATTAAAGTTCAATGGCCACACTGTTTTTAATACAAAGTCTTTTTATTGCCTTTTGTCTCCAAGTCTGCCTTGTCTTGGTAAGGTTTTCTTTTTCCCTCTCTCCCATTTGGTACCTTTACGTCTTTCGTGTTCTAGGTAGACCTGCTTTGTGGCCTCTGTCTAATGACTGTATTTCTGACCCCAGAACAGTCCACTGGATTGTCCCCAGAGCAGTCTAAAGTCCACTGGACTGTATTTCTGACCCCAGAGCAGTCCACTGGACCCAAAACCTTGGGTCCAGCAGGATTTTATCTGCTGAGGGAATCCCACCCGACCTGGCCAGCACAGGAAATAAAAGCTGGGGCTGGGGGTGTGGCAGACCGTCTCCCCAACTACCATGTAACTTGTGAAAACTGTAAGTCTTATTAACAACAGAAAGAATTTGTGGCATACCAGAAACTACCAGAGAAGCTTTATCCCTTCCCCCACTTCCCAGTCCGTGCTTTCACGGGGGTGGAGGCAGCCAGCAAGTCCCTCACCCCACCAAGTTGCACAGACTCTATTCCAAGAAGGTAAGGCCAGAGAGTCAGGGTTTCCCCCTCATTGTTGGGCAGACACTCTACCCTGGGCAAGGAAGGTCTGGGGTCCTGGGTTCTGAGTGTCTTGCCCAGCTCTGTACAGTGAAGCTCCCCACAAGCCAAGGAGACTAGGGGCCGCCTCCCAGCTCCCCTTGCAGAGAGGAGTGTCACCAGGGAGAAGCTGAAGCCGCCCCTGCCCTCCGAGGAGGGGACTGACTCTATCAGGACAGAATAAGGAAAAGCCTGGGCTAAGGGTGGCATGGGACACTGGGATCTGCACAGACTGTGTAGCTCACTGCACCGCAGTGCTGGCAGCCAGCAGCTCCTTGGGCGTGCACACAGAGTGTAACAGAGAGAACACCACAGAGACAGCCGAGAGCCCTCCCGGGATCACAGTCCACCCTGCGGTCTGGGCTGCACCCTCTCAGGAGCAACCACTGCTGGATGGGCACCCTAGAAAGTATGTCCGAGCAAACACCATGCAGGGCGAATGGCTTGGGGCACAGGACCCAGGCACAAGCTCTGAGCCAGCGCTGGCTGAAGGATCCCGGGCGCTAGCCCAGAAGCACCTGCAGGAGAGCGCCTGTGACGGTCTGCAGGCTGAGAAGCTCTACGCTACGCGGGCTCAGGAGCAATCAAGGCAAAGTCAGAGCTTCCAGTCCCTGGCTGAAGGTGGGTCAAAGACAAACTCCCAACGGCAAAAGCAGCCTGCGGGCCTCGAATGCATCCAGTGGTGTAGGGCTGAAACCTAACTGGATGAGGGGCTTACCCCCACTCTGACCAATAGTGGCTTATACTGATCCAGGGAGCTGGGTGCAAAGATTAAAACAACAACAACAAAAATACGAGCAAGGAGACCGAAGGCTGCACGCTGGAGGCTGCACTAGTTCAGAGCCAGGCCAATACACAAGTAAAGACCAGGCAAACAGCATCGGTCCCCTGGGGGTGCCACAGTGCACTCCCCACATGTCCAGTTTTCCACAGCAACCAAATATGACCCATGAAGAGAAACAGGAAAGCATGACCGAGGTAGCTGTGGCTTCGTTAAGGGACCCACATGTTGGACTTACTAAGACTTTAGAATAGCCGTTGCAAATGAGGCCACAGCTCTAAAAGGGACACTGTCTACAGAACTGCAGTGGTGTATGATGCTGTCTCACCACACAGAACTTATCAGGAAGAGACACTATTAAAACACAAAGTAAAGTCTGCAGTCAGAACATACAGTGATGGGATTTCACTCGAGAGGTTCCACGCTAGGCTGGAATGACCGGCAGAAAGAATCAGCAAATGTGAAGACAGACGGATGGAGATGATACCGTCTGAAGAAAGGAGAAAAAAAGAAGAGAGCATGACAGCAAGAAATCAGTGGAAATAAGTTTACGGAATAGCCTTAAGACGTGAAAATGCAGGGAAACCTGCCTGAGACGGAGTGACCAGGCCAGCATGGGAGCTCCAACCAGTGTGCACCGGACATGGATCACAGAACACAATCATTCACACACCCCAACAGAGGAATCCTCCAGGACAGGGCATCATGGACCACAAGCCCAGCAGGGAAAGCTGTACATGGCATCTCCTGCAAGAAACCCACTCCCCAGGGTCTCCACCAATGAGAAACCATCACCACCCTAAATTCTTCCTTTTCTTCAATGGCCTTTTGTTCAAAACAACCTCTCCAACTTCCTTCTTTTTTCCGTAAAATAACTCCTTTACTTTGTCGGACTTGCCTGTGGCTTTTGCTGTAGCTTGTTTGTCCCGAATGTCCCAAGTTGCATTTTTTTGCAGCCCAAGGCGCGGGGAAAGTCAACCTCTCATCCGCTATCTCAACATGAAATGAACCTGGAGGCCACCAAACATCGCGGATCCAGAAGGCACGCAGGTGGAGAAACACAGGGCCTTAGCCAGCGCACCACCCCCCAAGAGACACAGTGCGGCGCCCCAACCCAGCTTCACCGACCCTGCCCCCATCCCAGCCATCCCCGTTCCACACACCCCAGCCATCACGGCCACCCGCAGCCCCTACTTTACCTTCTTCCCCACTCCACCAGCCCAGGCCTGCGGTGGGGCCGCCTCCTGGGCCGGAGGCGCGAGGCCGGGCGTGGACTCCCCCGTGAGTCTCACAGCCGCCTGGTGCACTCGGGCTCGCAGCCCCCTCACTTTCCCCATGGCTGGGGTTGAAAATCACAGAGGACCGGAAGCACCGTGGTGCACGAGGTGGAGCCGCCTGGAACCTAATCCTGCGCTCTCTACGCCGAGAGGAAACCGGAGCCCAGACAACCGGGTTCCGAGATCCTCCCGGCAGCAACAGTGCGGGCGCGCCGGAGGGGCGTGGCCACGTATCCGCCCCGCCCCCGAAACGCCCCGCCTCCCAGGCAGACCCGGTCTAATTGCTGGAATCTAAGCAGCCTTCTTGTGATTTGGGTATGATAAAGTGGCGCTAGGTGAAGCAAGCTTGTTGAACACATACTAGTGTGTTTGTCACACGGCCCTCGTGCGTTTCATAAAGTCTCGGGGAGAAATAAAATCAGAAGGCTGGGGCCGGGGCCTGCATATTATTAGAAGTGGTGACCTGGGAGATCTGTGGCTGAATCCTAGAGAAGCCCCAACAACCCTTACCTGAGCTAGTCTAGTCCATTTGTTTTATTAACTGTGATTGAACCTTTACTTTGTATCCATCTTGTATTACAGCATTTCATTTACTCCTCAGAAGAAATTCCTTTTAGTCCTGGCAGGTGTGGCTCAATTGGCTAGTCATGTCTTCTAACCAAAAGGTTGCAGGTTCGTTTCCCCATCAGGGCACATACCTAAGTTGTGGGTGCGTTCCCTGTCCAGGCATGAGCACAAGTGACCCCTGGCCCGGGTGCCCGTGCAGAAGGCAACCGATGGATGCTACTCTCTCACATCAATGTTTATCTTTCTCCCTTCCTCCAAAGAGCAGTGGTGTCATCTGTTTACATGGGAAACGTGCTGGGAAGTTCCAGGACCAGGACCTGAGTGAGCCTTCCTCTTTCAGGCTTCTGTGCATCCTCATTCAGGAAAACGAGAAAGCGAGCTTGAATGGATGTGACTTTCAAGGAGTCCTATTGTTCTGTTGGGGACACTCAGGAGTCCAGGCTCAGCCAGGACATGACACACAGCACCCTCCTCCAGCCCCACCTAGGAGCCCGACCCACCTAGGAGGCCCAGCCACAAAAAGTGGACTTCGGAGTGGAACAGCCCCACGCAGAGCTGGGCACCACTTCTCAGGAAGGGTGGAAAGGTGTTTGCCCTGGTGTGAGGTCTCCCTGCAGCGGGCAAGTCAACATTCGATTTTGTCTGTTACAGGCCTGTTCAGGGTGTACGGGAGCTGGCCTGTCCAGTTCCAGAATGTCCAACATGGACAGGACATTTATAGATAACGAAGGCTCCTACGTACACCATCATGGAGGCCAGAGAGAATGTCCCCAGAAGAACTCCAGAAGCCAGCCCCTGTCAGGGCGTCCCAGTGCTGGCATCTGCTCAGCTCCTCCCAGACCAAGTGGTTGAAAGGAGAGCTCAGCCATCTTTGGAACCTCTGGGAAGTGAGGGTGCTGGGCCAGTAGGTAGGCTTTCTGGAATGTGGAGAAGGCCATGCTCACCCCGAGTCAGGTCCCCACCAATCCCATGGGACCTATGACCTCTTCAAGGGGGTTTTATCAGAAGTGTAAGAAGCCTGGTTCCAATCAGTTCTCTGAAAGCACAGTGCAAGTCCCCAGCTGCTCCACAATAAAACAAGAATGCAGAGGTAATTTCTGCTGATGAAAGAAAGCCATGTGGGGTGAGCTATGGGCACAGCACAAGGGCGCAGAGACAAACCCCCACTGGCATCAAGGACTGTCCTCCTGGCAGCCCGTGCAGGACTGCTAGGGGACACCCCAGAAGCCCAACGTCACTGACGTGGTCTCTAACACACTGAACCCCCTGCATCCAACCATCCTGGTTTCCAGAGTTACTCGAGGCAGGGAGACCCCACTTGGCTCCTGGCAGGTCCCCTGCTGGACCCAGCCAGTGACGTCAGCACCTGAACAGCTCCAGGGGCCTGTGGGACAGCCTCAGCTTCAGGTGTCCCTTTGCCTCCCTGTGCGATCCACGCTGTCTCAGTAAAAGGAAACAAATGTGAACTGCTCCAAAATGAACCTGTGACAACTTTACAGAAGTCCGGGGTTCCTTCTCTCTCCGTCTGCCCTCTCGTCCGTAACCACCTGTCTGGGCTCTCCACGCCACACTCCCAGTACTCTGACTCTTCCGTCTGCAGCCCGGGTCTTTCTCTTTCCGCCTATGAAAGTTTCCTGGAAATCTCAGAGGGGGGTTCGCGTGCTCATCTGCCCCAGCAACATGTTCTCCTTCAGGAAAAATGGCACCAGTGTCCAAGCACCAAAACAGAGGGAGGCGTCATCTTCACTACCTCCCTGTCACATCCACTCCTACAGCCCCTTCCACTCCCCCAAATCCCACCCCACTGAGCTCCTGCCTGGGCCTTCTTTGGGTCTCCCTGACTATTCACTCCACTCTGGGCCAGAATGGACACCCCCTCTGCTTACAGCACCCCTATCTACCCAGAGGGGCCCCCAGGCCATGATATCCCTGGAAAGGAAATCCTGGCCTTGACCCACCCAAAGCACACCCTCCTCCCCCAGCCCCCCACTGTTCTGCCCTTCCCAGCACTCAGCCATGTTGACTGTCTGTCCCCTGAGCTGTCTGCCTCCACAAGGTTCCCCAGGACCTTGGTGGTCCCCTGTTCCCAATGCCTGGCTGGGGCTTTGAAGGTCATTGTTTTTTCTCTGACTCAATCTTTTGTCACCTGAGGGCGCTCGTGGACCAAGAAGGGTGCACTCTTTGCTACTCTACCAAGCTGGGTACACAAAGGGAACAGACTCAGGGGTGCCAGAGGGTCTCAGTGACCGGCTGCTTCTCGAAGACCCCAGGCCCATGGAGCCCCCACAGCACATGGACCACACAGGAGCTGTAGGGAGGTCTTCACACACAGGGGTCTGGGGTCCTGTACTGTGGTGGGAAGATGGCTTCCGGGACATGCAAACGCTCCCTGCCTCACACTGCTATCCACCTGGTCCGCCGTCCCCAGGACTTCTTAATGAAGCATAGGTTCTGCTGTAGGGTTCCCAAACTCCCAGAATGCGCATCAGGGTGCCTGATGACCCCTGAACAGCAGAGCTGCTTCTCCCAACACGATCAGCGACAGTCCTGGGACCTGGAGCTCCCGGCTCCGCTGCATCCCAGGCTTGCCTGGCCCTGATCCAGTGCTGTAACAGCAGGTGCCCATGTGCTCAGTGTCAGGCCTTCCTTTCTGGGCTGCTTATGGGGATTGGCACCAGCCTCTTGGGTGCAGCCCCCCGCCAGGTTAACGAGCTCCAGATGAGCCGTCCTCAGCCAGCGTGGACCTGTGGAAGGTAGAGGCTCAGTGAACAGGCCTTGGGGTGTCTGGTCAGGGGTGAAGTCCTGAGTCTGCCCCAGCCCTTCCTGCCCACTCCAGCCATGGTGCAATGGGGAAAGGAGGCAGCTTCCTCCCCTCCCACCACCTACCTCCCACCCTCTTGGGGAACCTCCCTTGCTTCCCCTAGGAATCAGCCATGGGCAGGAGGCACCTTGTTCCAGGGCGGCCCGCTGAGACCTGCCCGAGTCTCAGCCCTCAGTGGGCTCTGTCCACTGCGGTGGATTGGGAGACCAAGGCAGGTGGCCAAGTCCCACCACCCTGTGCTAGGCCTGGTTCGGAGACAGGTGCCCAGCACTCCCCCTAGCAGTCTCCCAGACAGAAGGGGGCAACAGGTGAGCAGCTGCCCACAGCAGGGTGGGGGTGGGTCACCTGCACCTTGTGGAAACACAGGCACCTAGAAACACACGCCTCTCAGTCCCACTGCTCAAAGGAGGCACCTGGCCTTGGGGACCTGGTGGGCTAGGCTGCAGGTCGCCTCCAACCCCCTGGACCTACAGCCTTTGACTTCAGTTTAGAGACATCGGGCTTTAAAATGATCACTTTGGGTCTACACTGAACAGGTTGTCATCTGAGCATCTGCCTAACTGGGCGGATTCCAGGGGATCACCACCCTGTTGGCACCTGGGACACCGAGGTGGGTGCCCAACCTATGCATCTCTGCACTCAGCAGTGGGGAGTGGCCAAGCCCCAGTGTCCATACCCAGGAACAAGTCAGGAAGTTGGATGCAACCTATTTCAATCTGTGGAATTCTGGCACTTGGAAACTCCTGGGGTCAAATACTGCGTCGGACTCACCATGGGATCCCTGGGGCCATTTGGAGGAAGTGGGTGGGGCTGGAGGAAGAGGCCTAGCGGGGAGGTTGCCCAAGCCATGATTTCAACAGTGAGCTCTGTCGCCCCAGGACCCTTGGGGCCTGTCCCTGATGGGGGCCTGGCCTTGTCACTTTCCAGGTGCCCCTCTGCCCCCCACATCCTTCAGCTGTGTGTCTCTCCTCTCCTTCCAACCTTCTACCAGCTCCTCACAGGGCAGGCATGTGGGGCATAGATCCTTTCGATTTTATTCTGTCTCTGAATAACTTAATTTATCATAACATCCTTTTCTGACTATAAAACTAATAGTTTTATCACAGAGAATTTGAAAAATATAGAAAACTATTTTAAATGCTAACCTGCCTTTGGTCCCCTCACTCAGAGATGGCAGGACACATGGGCCAGGCTGGGCAGTGCAGAGGGCCAGGCAGCCTGTTTAACTAGGAATTTTCACTGTTGCTCAAGTGTGAAAAAGATCAGGTCTTCCTGATAACCACCCATCACGCAGCCCACAGCCTCAGCTCTATCTGCCCAGCCTGGCCTCCCACTCGTGGGTGACCTTCAGGGGTTCACTTCCTGCATGGATGAAGTCACACCCAGATGAGGACAAACGCTCCTTCCCCAGACCAGCCTCTGCCTCATCCGTGTTTAGCCGACATCAGGATAAGAGCCCCTCTCTCCTCCCCCTCTGCCCTGCGTGATTTGCCAGCCCCGGGCACTTGGTCCTGACCCCCACCCCACTGCCCTGCATCCCTGCTCTGCTGAGAGCCTCACATACTTCATCTCAGTGTCCCAAGAAGCAGAGCAGCACCCACAGTTTGCAGAGAGAAAAAGGTGTCTTTCTGTAGCTGGCCTGCAAATGTGCAGCCACCTGCCCAGTGGGCACTCGCTGGGTGCCCAGAACTTCAGTCCAGACTTCCCAGAGCCCAGCCACATGGGCCACCAGTGCTCACATGCCCAGCTCCTTCCTGTGTCAGAAGCAAGAGAGACCCATGGGCCCCACCATGAGAGATGTGCTATTTTTCC